CTCTACCTTTGTCTATGGTTGATACTATTGATCGCTGCGTGTGAAGATGATGCATGATATGTACACATCTGCGTGAGATGGTCTCCAGGACCCATGCATAATCCTCTTCGCTAGTGGAACCTCGCCCCAGAGGTTCCGACAAAATATGTAACCCCGCGGCTGTCCAAGCAGCTGACATTTACATGCCCACTTGCATGAAAACGCAAAATACGGAGCCATTGTGACCCAAAAAAATCACCTACAATTTACTATTTTATGAAAAAGCGTGCTAGTGTGAGCATGCCCTTACGGCGAGTGAAGCAATATCCATGCAAGTGAACAACACTTTGCCAAAAAGTCAGGAGAAGACAAGAAAAGACAAGTAAACCCCCGAGCGCATCAATCAAAAGATATACAATGAAGCACCATGAAAAATTTGAAGCGAAGCGCCATAGTCGTGAAGCTCGACTGACGGATTGCCCTACACGTGTTTCGGCCGGGCCGTCAGAACATCGGCCATCATCAGGGGCGTGCGCTGGTGAGATAAGACGAAGAGACACTATGAAGAACTTATATCCTCAATCAAACAAAATTTTTGACAGAAGTACTGGTCCGTGGGAAAAGGAAGGCCCCAAGTACCAGTACCAAAACAGGTAAAAACCGAAAACCCAAGAAATTGCACAACAACTCCCTACTAGTGTACCAATAGTCGAGACCCTAAGCCTCCCAATTGGCAAAACACTGGACCCAAACGGACCAAGCACCCCCAATGCGTATATTGAAATTGCAGAGGGCCCTGTCGAAGTAACTATCGGGAAAACCCCGCTGCCTGAGATCCATCTTGAGAGAAAAGAGAAAAGAGGCCTCTGCCGCAGGTAAGGTGCCCATCGCATACGCTCTGTGCAAAAATGAAGTGATAATTGCCATTTTTTGTTTCTTGCTACTGTACGAACAGTAATCCTGCAGGTTCTGAAAAACGAGACCCTTACCTTCCAACAAATACTTCTGATTCTTATGCAACGCTTGACAATACACTCGAACAGGCTCACTTCACTCGAACAGGCTCACTTCACTCGAACAAGCTCACTTCCGATGAGAATTCTACACCCGAGGTAAGGCCACTGATCCCCATTACTAGTCTTCTCCAATGTCAGATGCTTGTCATAACAAGTGGTAGTAAACCTATTCATGATGATCCCTGCATTCTTCTCAGATGCTGGCTGCTGCTTCATATACTTAACGAAAATAGAAACGTCATCGACAAGCCTACACCCAAAAACCAAACATGCATCATTGCCCAAACTCCTTAAGAAAGTAAACTCGTTGTGTGCGCACATCAAGCATGCCAAAGCAGGGCTCGACGATTTCCCCATCGGAATGCCAAGATTTTGTTTCACAATTTTTTCCATCGCCATTGTGTAAGTGTGCTCCAGATCATATGCAATGAATTTGAGAAGAAGAGAAAACTTGACAAATTTGAAACCTACCTGAGATCTGGGAGTTCTACAGATAACGACACTCTTTTTCTTCGCACAGATTAGACACTTATAAAAACCCTTTTCCTCGAAAAAGCTAACAGCCCATTCTATGGCCATGATAATCGATGAGTGCGGTAGTTGGCAAAACATCTCTTTGACATCAAAACTACTCGCAAGCAAATCCTCCCCCGAAGTGATACTCTGGTTAACTCTAGATAGGAAAGCAGAAAGAGACTGTGTACTTCGCAGATTGAAATGACAGTTCGAAGGAAGCCTTTTAAGAAATTCGTTCACACAGAGAGATACTATCCTCGCGGATTTCCGTGACGGTTCATTCCAAGAGGGGCAGATCGGTCGCCATTTAGTTACATCCTTATGCTTTGGTATAACATAAGCTCTTCCCAATTTCCCTGAAGCCACCCATGGCGCCAAAACCTGAAGTTTTTTTGCCCTGTACTCAAACTTACATCGCCGGATGATTTCTTCCTCGTCATAATTAACGACCTGCAATCCGACATTCGCAGTAAACAACTTACGTAACCCCTCTGTGTAGATAATCGGACAACAGACAAAAGTGTCACCAGTATTGTGATCCAATGGACAGCGTACAAGCCCTTCGAACTCGCTCTTCCATGTCTGAATCTCCCCGAACGACAAACAGTCACCATACCTACTACCTTTAGACAGACAGTCCTCAAGCCCCGAAAATGAAAAACATCCTTGACGCCAAAAAATTGTTGAAAAGAGGCGGTAATCTGTTTCCTCAGAGACCCCGTATGAGCAGAAGACTCGGGGCAAACGACATTCTTAGAGTTACGAAGACAGGAAGGGAGAAAATCTACTTCACTAACCCTAAACGACACATGATCATTAACCCTGGGAAATTTCAACGGAAGAGAAGCACAAAGACAGGTTGGCTCGGAGGATGATGCATACTCCTGGAAGTTATGGAGAAGATCCGATATCGCCTGGTTCTTTGTCCATACAATACGCAATTTCCTACATACTTGCTGAAGGTACGGGAGTGGATAGTTCAGGCTTAATATACAGCTCTGACAAACGCGTCTTACAGCCAACTTTACAAGATTCTCATCGAACCTAATGCGAACAACCAATCTAGCAGAAAGGCATAGATTATACTTTCTTCGGCAGGCCTGGGAGAGAATAATACGTAAAGAGGTATGGGATTTCTTAGCAGAGATGGTACAGACCGCGTTATAGGTGGAGACAAAGGAAGCAAGACTCCATAGGGAAAGATCTCGTCTGGATTGGGGGAATTTCAACAACTGTACTACCTTGTTTTTATACGGAAGGGATGTGGAGCAGAAAGACTTGACCGAGTGGAGATAGAAAGTTTTTCCCGGACGAAACCAAGAACGACAGTTCTTTAGCAGAGAAATCGGAAGATCGGTGGATGAGATAGTCGAACAGCCAAAAAGTCGTCGAATAAGCTTCCACTTATCAGAGAATGAGTTGCCAGACAAGACGCGAAGTTTGAGAGGGAAGGAGAGCTTGGATGTGGATATATTACATAGTAAAGAAATAAGACTGGTTGAGGTTTGACCGGATGAGAGTGAAAAATAATACGGAGAGGGGGTAGATTGTAATAGTAAGAGAGAGGAAGAAGAGGGAGAAGAAGAAGAGGGAGAAGAAGAAGAAGAGGAGGAGGAAGAAGAAGAAGAAGAAGGAGAAGAGGATAGAGGAAAGGAATCAGAGGGCAAGAACTTCTTCTTTCTTCTTAATCTTTCCCTTCGACCTGGACGACATTTATTATGTCGCCGGATGCGTGCCTTTACAGAATTAAGGGCTGGAGTAAAAGAACGGATGAAAAACTTCTCAGATGGTAATAGATCGTCCTTTGAAGAGCAGGAAAAGATAGGAATGGAGATATACCCATCGATACCAACCCTACGAATCCAACGATAGAGCTTCCTATTACGACGAAGAGGTTTGGATGACGCAGACGAAGAGGAATGTTCCTTCCAACGAATTTTAATACTACGCGACGTACAACCAATATACACATGTTTATACCACGGGGAAATAATAGCATATACAACTGGGCCATGACAAGACCTAAAATCATAACCAATGTTAAGTAAATGCAACAATAAATCACGAAATTTAAGACCCCAACGAATCTGATTATTAATAATCAACAAGACAACTGTTAATCGAAACAAATAGGTAATCTCATCTACCGGCAATGACTTACGATAGTCCCGAAAGAATGATGCCCACTCCCACAAGGAAGATACGCTCAGGGCGCCTTCTCACTCGTCATTAATATCTTTCGTGGAGGTGGCATAATGTTGCTCATGATCGTCTTCATCCTCATCTTGAAGGCCTTGATCCTTGAGCCATTGCGCGAATCTTCTTCTTGCCCGGATCTCAGCTACATCAGCCTTGGCCTGATCCAATTTGATGTAGGTGATCCCCTCCTCCTCACACAGTTTCGACATATCTGCCTTCTTGAATGGGCGTAAAGTCCGCCTCTCCTCTTCCTGTAACTTTTTTAATTGAACCTCCTCCGGTTTCTCGGGTAACTCCTCGACAGCTTTCGTCCTCCTAGGACCGCCTTCCTTCTCCGACGTCCTCAATCTGTATAGCACTTAAGGCTGGCCTCAGGTTGTGAGGCGTCGTTTTCCTGACAGAAGGTCTTCTTGCAGAAGGACGCTGCTTCGTCAGCAACTGAGCACCCATGCGCGCCATCTGTTCCTTGAGAGCTTGCACTTCCTTGTTGGCGATTTCTTCACGTGCCCGAGCCTTCTTGTATGCCTTGTGAAGGGCATCCAAATCCTTGGGAGTGTAAACGGCGTCACCAAACGGAACCAACCTCTGCTTCCCTTTGTCCGGCTCCGCTGGTGGACTTTTCTCAGTCACCACTTCGGACGATCGCTTGTTATTGGCGTTCTTGAGCTCATCAATCTCCCCTCTGAGATCTTGGAAATCCTTCTTGAGTGTCGAGTTTTCTGCCTTCAAACTGCAGAGTTCATTGCTGCGGTTCTGGAGCGCTGCCCACACCCCTTCAAGTTCTTGAATCTGCAAACGAAGCGCCGCGATTTCATCATTCTGCGAGCTTTCGGAATTCGCATCAACCGATTTGTTCTTCTTGTTCTGTGCCCTCAATATCTCAATTTCCTTCTTAAGAATTTCCTCCTCGCTACTCAGAGACTGCGCTTTCTGAAGCGCCTCTTTCTCCCGCCGTAGCGCATCCAAACTGGATTCCGCCTTTTCCCCCGCACATCTTGCCTTCTCCCCCACATACTTAGCCTTCAGTTCATCTAACTCCCGTTTTACCTTGCTGATCTCCGACTCATCCTCATCAGGAATGTCAACTTTCTTCCCTAGAACCGATTCGCAAACAGACTTCATACTGCTCCTCACAATCTTCCCTAACCTAACCTCGTGCAATTCCTTCTCCTTTCTTGCTTGCGTGTTTCTCTCCTCTTCTGCCTGCAGCTTTTTCTTCTCGGCTTCAAGCAGTTCCAACTTAGCTGCCTCCTGCTCCTTACATTCCCGTTCTTCAGCTTGTTCCGAGAGCAGGCCATAGATCTTATCAAACCGATCATCGTTGTCACGTTCCCTATAACCACCACCCCAGGGCTTCGGAAACCGCTGACCTCCGTAACCTTGATTACCCCGATAACCACCGCCGCCACCATAGTTGCTGTAACCACCATAATTACTTCCAGCATTATTAACGCTTCTACCTTGTGGCGGTTGGTACGACACGATTGCGTTGGAAGTGCCAGACGCCGCGGCCATCTGAGAAGAAGAAGAAGAAGACGACGCCGGTGCTGGCAACAAACCTGATACCTCATTACGCGTGCCACCGTTCATAGCTCCTTGTATGTTCGCTGCCATCTCCGCTCCGTTCGGACAGTTGCGAAAGGGGCATTCTCGAATGAAGTGGCCAGGGAGCCTACAGAAATGATAGACACCTAAACGATACATCTCCAAAGGAGGACTAACCTCGTCCCCCGGTTTAATCCAGCGGGCAACAGCCCTAAAAATCCCACAGTGCGATTCCAGATAGAAAGAAAAGGAGAGAAGAGACGACGGGAGAGGGAAAAGAAACAGAAGGAAACGAAAAGGAAACAGGAACAACAGAACATAGATTGTAGATTGTAGACTGTAGACCGAAGACAGTAGACTGAAGACTGTAGACCAAAGACAGTAGACTGAAAACTGAAGACTGAAGACTGAAGACAAAGGTCACAGTCACTCGTACGGGTGATCAATCCCCCCAACGGTTCCCTGTGTGCACGTCGCAGTGAAGCAATATCCATGCAAGTGAACAACACTTTGTTCAGGAGAAGACAAGAAAAGACAAGTAAACCCCCGAGCGCATCAATCAAAAGATATACAATGAAGCACCATGAAAAATTTGGCACGAAGCGCCATAGTCATGAAGCTCGACTGACGGACTGCCCTGCACGTGTTTCGGCCGGGCCGTCAGAACAGGGGCGTGCACTGGTGAGATAAGACGAAGAGACACTATGAAGAACTTATATCCTACATCAAACAAAATTTCTGACAGAAGTACTGGTCCGTGGGAAAAGGAAGGCCCCAGGTACCAGTACCAAAACAGGTAAAAACCGAAAACCCAAGAAACGGCACAACAACTCCCTACTAGTGTACCAATAGTCCAGACCCTAAGCCTCCCAATTGGCAAAACACTGGACCCAAACGGACCAAGCACCCCCAATGCGTACATTGAAATTGCAGAGGGCCCTGTCGAAGTAACTATCGGGAAAACCCCGCTGCCTGAGCTCCATGTTGAGAGGAAAGAGAAAAGAGGCCTCCGCCGCCGGTAAGGTGCCCATTGCATACGGCGAGGCCAGGGTGAATCTGACTGCAATGACGTCCAGAGCTTCGTGGAAAAAGCCCTTGTGTGAGTATGCCTAGAGTGCCCAAAGACCCCAAACCAATCTCCGATGTCGAAGTCCCTACGGCTAGGGGTAATTGCAGGTATAGAGTGCTTTCGAAGTCAAGAAGTTTCTAGGCCTTGCAAGATTAAAAAAAAAAAAAAAAAGCCTCCGAAGGTCTAATTTTGAAAGGAAAGTCCTTCGGGACATCCGTTACAATTGGAACGATACAGAGAAGACTAGGATGACACGCATAAATCGAGAAATGGTCCAAATTAAAAAATAAAATAAAAATAAAAAATAAGTAAAAATAAAAATAAAAATTGCAAGGAAAGTGGGACCCCGCCCGAAGCCTGCAAATATTTTTGCTGTGAAACAACCGGGACCTGGAAAGCTGCAACAAAAGATATATTGTTGCAAGTTGAACGAAACTTGGGGCCCGCCAATATTTTGGGAAAAGCAATGAAACCTCCCCGCGATGAAACCTTTGTATCCATTTCCCCCCAAACGGGAAGAAAAGTGCCGCAGGTCCCAGAATCATTTTTGCTGTCATTTTTGCACCCAGGCTGGGCCGGTAGCGGCCGCAGTGTAAAAATGGAGAGAAAGTGTTTTTTGGGTGCAAAAATGACGCCGAAATTGATCTTGGGGCCCTGCGGCACCTTTTTCCCCGTTCGGGAGGAAATGGAATGGATACAAAGGTTTTGTCGCAGTTAGGTTTTATGACTTTTCCCCAATATTTTTGCTGTGAAACTACCGCGACGCAGTATTTTTGAAATTTACCCTAGTCCGGCTCCTACTATTTGTAAGGGGAATACGTCTTTTTGTGCCGCTCATCACCCAAACACAGCTCCAAACGGATCAAACAGTCCACCTCTTCGTTTTCTTTAAACCACCAGTACTTTTTACCCTTCTTTTTCCACACCTAGAAAGGTCCAGCGTATCAAGTTTATCCCTGTCTCTTATACACATCTAGATGTGTATAAGAGACAGCACACACACACACACACACACACACACACACACACACACACACACACACACACACACACAGCCTGAACGCTTGTGCGACGATTCTATCCGAACTGGTGGAGTAACCTGGTGCAAGCGCCATAGGTAGAATCAGCAAGCGAGTAGAGAGATGTAGTAGTCGTTAGGATGAGCACTGAGTGCATTCAGAGAGGGGGAGAGAGAGAGAGAGTGGGGAGAGGGGGGGGGGGGGGGGTACATGCCTGTGGGATTAGGCTTGGAGGCCATCGCCGACCAAGACATGTGTTCGGACAATTGCAACAATTTTTTGATTTGGATTCTGGAATAATAGCTTCGAGTCTCGGCTGATATCTCTCTCTCTCTACTTTGCTTTGTGAGTGTGGTGTGAACTGTGGGAGCTTGCATGATTGCCAAGTCACAGTCAAATTGAGTCCGATCGTAATCCGATCATTGCATATCCACCCTCTTCAACCAATTGCTGATTTCGTTGGCCACCATGCAACATGGAACAACCATTGGGGTTGCACCCATACTCGTAGATTGCATTATCATGTCCTCTGTGTTCTCAAAGCTCAATGACATAATCTTCTTCTGCTCTTCATATTATACCTGGAGTCACTGGAGTGGCAGTGGAGTCCAAAACAGTCCTTGTGCGGCTTGTGCCCAATTTGTGTTGATAATGAATGGCCCCCTCACAATTTACCATTCAATTTTGATATTAGCCCAATGAAGTTGAATGAACCAATGATCGCTCCTTCTTCGTAGCTTGGCACGGCTTTCCTAGGAATGATCTGTACTATTTGTGAGCAAGACACTGAGCTCTATCCGGCGTATCCGCAAGTTGGTGTTCAATGGTGATGGTCTATTTTGGGCGTCCATGAAGTACTGCACATTCTCTCTTCATGGCCTCTCTCCACAAGCTATTGGGCATCGTTAGACACTCCTCGGGGACATGAACTCCACAAGGATGCGGTCGTTCCACCTGTCCTTGGGGACGAAATTGAAAAAGAGATGTGAAAACGCTACAAGGAATTTTCATTGTGGCGTCCTTGTGTCCTCAGCCAAAATCTCCTTATCCCCAAGGGACCGCGTGGAGCTCAAGGAACCGTGATTCACGGAGTGGCGAAGACATGCGTTGACGGAGAGTTTCGGTTCTTGGGTGGTGCAGATGTGGTCCAACGGCGTTAGCACGGACATCCCCACTCTCCAACATCTGCGTAGTCCCTCAGTGGGCCCCAACGGCTACTATTGGCGGTGGGCCTCCATCAGGTGGTGCCGTCGTTTTCGGCCGGCATCATGCTGTCTCCCGCGCTCAAGAAATGTCCGCAATGGTCAGGGAAATATTTTTTCCTGGCGTTGCCTTCAGTCCATCCACGAAAGAGGTTTCTGCACGAGCGTCGTATTCCCACGCGTGTCGTCACGTGCTGCATGTCCGACAAGACTCTTGCCTTCTCCGTCATCGTGTGCTAGATGTCCAACAACAGACATGGCATTGCTGCCCTCTCCACCGTGCAGCTCATGGCCAACCTGTACCGCAGACTCCCTCTGCTGCTCCACGTCGCTGTGCTGCTTCTGGTGGTCCCTCTGCTGCTCCCCGGCGCTGTGCTGCTTCTCGTTGAAGTAGTCATCCGTGGCGTCGTCGCATTGTCGAAGGTCTTCCCACATCCCCCCTGTCCTGTGTTTGATCCACCACCTCGGTGTCGCTGGTGGAATGACGCCACAACCCAACGTGTAGCACAGCTCAATGACAGCCTCTGAAGTTGCCACATAGTCGGGGCCTATATCCGCAGCTTCCATCAGCGTCCTCCTTCTACGCGCGCGCAACTTATCCTTCATTCGTCCCAGCGCCCTCTCCTGCTGACAACGAAGAACAACGGTTGACACAGCCACCGCCACGGCTGCCCGCTCAAGCGGTGTCAACAGCGCACTCCCACCCTCTCCGCCGCCGTCCATCGCCACCACATCCACAGGGATGGAGTCTCTCCGTTACTGTCTCGATCCTCGCACCCCAGAGACGTAACCCTCTCACCCCCCAAGGAGAGGTCCAAGAAGCTGCCGCCTTTCCGTGGATGCCGTCCCCCTGGCAGAACTGCGTGTGATGGTGCGGACGACGTGGAGGAGAATCTGGACGACGGACGCAACCAGTGCACGCACGTTCTCTGACCGGGAGGTGGGCAGAATGACACCGCTGCTAACGCCGGTTCAGCCCTGCACTGTCTGCGCGCTGCAAGCCAAACGTCGTCGTCGTCACCACAACCCTACTTCAAAATTTGAATTTCAAACGTAGAGGTCCCCCTTTTTTATTTTATGAGACAACTGCGCGTATGACCGCTGCACAGTTCAGAGTTCGCAGAAATAAGAGTCCACTGCAAGATTGGGCGGTGACTCGCCGGTGAGCAGTTCGAAACAGCAAGAAAAACAGTAAACTATGCTTTCCACGGCCTACCGGTTCATAATTGGCAAAAACGGGAGGTGGCCTGGCCTAGCAGGCCCTCCCGTTTTTATTTCTGTTTTTTTTTTCGTTTTTGGCTTCTAGTGGGAATGGGTTCGGGCTGGAAAACAATCCCGCTTTGTCAGTACAGGAAAAGCCGCCGACCGCACCCATTAACACCCACCCCATTCTCTCTCTCTTTCTCTCTCTCTCTCTCTCTCTCTCTCTCTCTCTCTCTCTCTCTCTCTTTTTTTTTTTTGAAAACAACCCGAGTAAATGCTAGGGTCGCTGATAAGAGCAGACACCACTAGCATGCTCGGGGAGGCTCCATCTATTGGTGGGGAGCAACACCTGCTGGAAACCGGATCCAGCGTCCCTTGACATTTAGAAGTGGGTCGTCTGTAAACAAACAGAGCTCGTTTTGACATGCCACGTGTCCATCGTACTATAAACATGAGTGATCAACTAAACCGACACGTAGGCACACTCCATTGACTGATGAGCAGTATTGATTGCCCTCAGTCGAGGGGATTAACTGCCCATCACTATGAAACACCCGCGGACGCGTCCGCAGGTCCGATCTCGGATGGGGCCGCGTCCACGGCCGACCTGGTCTGCGCCGCGGACCCAATTTTACCAGAATTTTCCTGAATTAAATACTAGGTTAAAAACAAAAACAAATATATGGGGTTGTAGGGAATTTTAAGCCCTACAACTTTTTTTTGGGGGGGGGGAATCCGACTTTGTTTAGGATTTTTAAAAAAATCAAAAACTAAATTCGATTTCAAGAAAATTAAAAACAAATAAAATAAAGAAAAGCTGGATTTTTGTTTTGTCATTTTTTATCATGAGATATATGGTCCCTGAGTTCACCTGTATTTTTTTAGAAATGAATTGCTGTTTTTTGCAGGGGTATGAGGTGTTTTAAAAAAATGCAGATACAAAATTTGAAAATAAATAAGGAAAAAACTTCAAAAAAGGGGTTTGATTGATTGATTGATTGTGAGTGAGTGAGTGAGTGTGTGTGTGTGTGTGTGTGTGTGTGTGTGTGTGTGTGTGTGTG